TTCAAGTTAACTGAAACAAATATTACTTATATTTATTCATATAAAATAATATTCTTAATTTAAACTAACTGTTGATAGATCAATTATCTTGAACTCAATATGGTGAAGTTAGGACAAGAAGACAATGTTATATCAAAGAAATAATCAATTTTTATAATATTAAATAATTATCTATATCATATAGAATCACACTTACAAATAGATGGATCACTAATAACAACCATAACATAAGTATTTGGTGTTAATAGCTCAATAAAACAAGCAAATGTTGAATTTCGAACCTCCATTGATTGAAATGCTGCAGTTAATTTACTAACATAGAAAAAAAAAAGATTCATAAAGTTTTAACTTAAAATATTGTCTACCTGCATGATAATTTAAATTGTTTAATAATATCACTTATCTTTTCAAATCGTCGTGCATCTCTATGAGGTTTACGTGTACAGTGTGAAATGACCTATATAATTAGTAAATTATTTTTTTCTATTTAAACAACATAATAATAAAATTTTACTAAAAACGTTGCTTTTTCAAAAAGAAGAATTTCATCAGCGTCAATAATGTCTGCAAAATTAGTTAATGTTTTTTCTAATCCTTTTACATTAGGTACTAATTGATAAACAATTTGTGACCAAGCCTATAGAAAATAATGTTTTATTTGATAATTCAATTTTTTTTTCTGTAAAATTATTTTACTTTATAAAGTGTTTCATCCCAAATCGATGTGCGAAAACATGAACAATGTAATGGTTTCGATACATTGTTTAAAATAGTTTGTCGTTCATTAAAAAGCTAATCAAAAGATAAAAGAAAAATACTGAATTAAACAACAAAAAAATATTAACATACACTTTCTCGCATATCTTCTGGTACTAAATCCATTTTATGTATAAGGCAAAAAATTTTCGCTTGACTTGAATGTTGTAAAATTGATTCAAGACATGATTGATAATAATGTAAGTCCTAAACAAATATTTTAAAAAATGAATGATGCTTATTTTATATGTCACACTTTGTCCAATTCTTGACTTTGAACATCAAATACATAAATAAGCACTTCGACATTTTTAAATATATTATCTTTTTGTGCAGCAAAATAACATTCCATAAATGCTTCTTGACCGCCACAATCCCATAAATTTAATATCAGATTGCCCAGAAAACGAACATAGGATTGTTCAACATCCACTAGAAAAGATAATGAAATTTTTTTTAATAGATAGAAATTAAGTAAAATCTTTTTTTTTTGTTGTACTTGTAGCACCAAGACGTCGAGTATCTTTTGCACTATAGTTAGCAAAAATAATTGACCGCATTGATGTTTTCCCTCCTCCACTTTTACCCATTAAAAGTACCTAATCAAAAAACAATAAAGAACCTAGAAAAACTTGTAGAAGAATTTTACCTTTTTTCGCATCATCTTTTCTCGCTATTTTATGTAAATCTTAAAAAATAAATAGAAATCAATCGTTTGTTTGTGATTTTCGAGCAATAAAAAAAAAGACAAAATTTAAGATACTACGTTGATGAACTCCAATAGTAACAAAGTTTGTCTGTTTATTTACTTTTTCTCCCCTGCTGTTTTTTATATTGGCTGCAAAAACGTTAGTTTCAGATTGTCATTACAGATGTCACCGGGTGTCGATTTCAACGGCTACAAATAAAAAAAGAAAGAAGTGATCATTTAAAAATTAATCTACGTTATATTCTTTGCAACCAGCTCTATAAGTTATAATTGAAGATTTAAGTAAATTAGAAAGATTAATACAACCATTTTGTTTAATTATTTATTTGATGCTCGACCTTTTCTGATAGCAGTAATCTAACAGTAATGCGCATTCTATTTGACGTGAGGGTATGGGTGCAAAGAGGATATCTACGTAGCAAAACCCACACCTACATGCTCATATTCTTTTATATGAGAACTTAGAAAATGAAAACTTATGATGAATATTGCTGCACACCGATTTTGAGCTTTACCTATGTAGCAGTTTTTTTCTCTAAGGTATAGGAAGCTATGGAAATAAAACTCTCCTGTTCTATGCTATCGGCATTGCTCTACAAGACGCTTCTGTTCGTTTTGCTTAATTATACAGTTCAATGTTATTCTCAAAAGTGGACTATTCCATGGACCAACCGTATAGATGTTGATGCGAGAATTTTCTCTTTACTAACTTTTAATAATGCAGCTATTATAACTATGACCATAAACTTGTTTTTGTTCAAGATTTCGTTCTATTTTATTTAATGTAGAATGATGATGATTTTCGCATTTTACTGCTAAGCTGTTCCAGTAAATTTTTGAATGAAACAGTGATGATAAAAATAATAAAGTATAATAGTTGATGATGTTGACTGATTACTTGGTGAAATACTACATATTGAATTAAAATTATTGCTGCATAGATTTTCTATATGAGAGATTTTATTATAATGTGTAAAATATTGTTTTATTTTATATAGATGATAATATGAATAAGTTACTTCAATTATTCAATATAGATGAAATTTTTCCTAAAACAGTTTGTTATTGATAAACTAAATATATAAAAGGTGGGCCAGAAGTTCTAACCGGATTCGCATAATAAAATTGTTTTTTTGTGAAATATGTATTTGTAAATTTGTCTCTAGTAAGAAAAGATGCAACAAAACACGCTCTACAAAATGGCTTTTGATTGACCTCACTGTCTCATATAGTAAAAAACTTATAAGCTTAGAAATATGCTTCACAAAAAATAGAAGTTAATCGGAATTTTTAGAAATCATAAGGACATTTCCTTAGTTAAAAATTAATTATTCAGCAATGTTGCTTGCCACTATGTGGGATTCATGTCCTTCAAATAAAGCACGAGTCTACGAAACTGCTCTTTCAGAGTAAACATGTTTGACATCTTGTTATACGACGTAAGAAAGAGTGTAGATTATCGAATACTTTATCTCGACTGATGTTGATCTATTTACAGATCGAAGCGACGAACGAATATATGAATGATACAAAAGATCAATATCATGAAAACAAAGAGATAGTGATTACAAAGACCTGAAAAAAAATAGTAGAATACACAAAGGTAGAGAATACATAGAGTGAATACACAATGTCTAGAACTAGATAATGAATACACAGTAAATACATACAGATCGAAAAATATATCGAATACCAAGAGAGAAGATGTACTAAGATCTGGAAGTGTTGACGAATATATAATGATAGTATGATCTAACGGAAAGTGGAGATTATCACACATTTAAAATTACTTGTTATAACTTTAAAGTGATTATACACTGCTCTGAAAAATTCATAGTTAATTGTTATTTTTTGCGAAGCATATTTCTAAGCATATAACTTTCTTACTATATAAGACAGTGAGGTCAATCAAAAGTCATTTTGTAGAGCTTGTTTTGTTGCATCTTTTCTTATTAAAGACAAATTCACAAACATATGTTTCACATAAAAAAATTTTATTACGCGAATCAGGTCAGGACTTTTGGCCCACCTTTTATATATCAAATAACAACAATGATAAGTTGCATTATCAACAAGCATACATAAGATGTAGTTTGACGTTATTCAGAAGCAAAAACAATCAGTTTAGCTGCAATTAGTCATGTTATATCATTCTGAAGTCATTTGTCTTACAACAATAATAAAATCCGTTTCTCACGAATAAATAGTAAAGCAGTGATATTATTTTATTCTCGTTGATTGTGTGAAACTTGTGAATTATCAATCTTATTGAATTTGCAGCTACATTCTGTCTATTAGAAATTGTTGGATTTTAACAAACATAATTCTGACAACCTGAGATCGTCCTCCCAATTTTACTCATAAAACTTTCGTCAACAATAGACAAGTGGTTCTGGGTCTGTCAGTGAGAGTTCAGAGATCCTCGGCTAGCTGATGCAGTGCAAGGAGATGAGTTGATGAACGTGTAGAGTACTACTGATAATAGGTGCATTCCCAGAACATGTGTCAGTTAAATTATAGAGGACTTTCATAAATAAGCAGTGGTTCAGGAAATGAATTAGAGAAAATTTTTAAAAATATCGATTTTTACTTGAACATCCCTCCTGCATCGTCCCTTTTCTAATATAGTATTATACATTACATTATATGTTGATATGTTTTAGATAAATAGTGGTTCTTCTTAGAGTTAAAAATTAAATCGTAAGGCTTAATTTACTTTTTCATATGGTAATTATGGTATGTGCATTCATGTATATATATACATATACAGATGTGGCCATTCAATAGCACTACGATTGAAAAATGAAACATCTCCGCATCTTTAGTTACTGGTAGAAGTTTATTCAAAGAGTATTTTTACACGGGTAAAATAAGCAAATACTAATGTTGCATATAATTGTTGGTATCATGAATGCAATTTCACTTGTTATCAAGTAACAAAAACTATATATATAGCGTTTCATAGATAATTTTCAAGTATTATTTAAGAGAATAATAAGAACAAATCAAAACGAACATTATGAATGATTTTTGCAATGATGCAACTAGAGAAAATTTTCAAACGTGCAACAGTCGTTTTTGCAAGAAAGGGGATGTTTTGGTATCTAAAGAATTTCAAATATGTATTTTACGTATGAGTCACGATTTTCAGCATTTCAACTGACTAATTTTGAAAATATGAGTTGGATGCATCAATATAGAATCATTCATAATGTGTTCGTTTTGGCGTGGGTGTGGGCTGTGAGTGTGTGGGTGTGTGGGTGTGGCGTGTGGGTGTCCTTTTCAACAAGCCGCACCCGCTCCCATCCACACCCGCACCCACACTCATATCCACACTCCACCCTGTCGATCACTTACACTACTATCAATAGTCGATAAAGATGTCTTTTTCATGAGAATTATTGACTGAATGACCACAACATGCTTTTCTGCCGCTGACGTATCGGTCAAAAAAAAGAACTAAAAAAGCAGCGATTATATATATATATGTGTGTGTGCAGTTGTTTATATCCGCCTACTAAAGAAACATTGATCGATGAATACGAATATGGAACATACAAATGTTCAATTGATCGATTTACCTAATGAAGTACTTCTGATGATTTTTAAGAAACTGAACAATGTTGAATTACTCTATTCTCTTATGGGTATCAACACACAATTAGATAGAATTATATCCGATTCAGTCTTTACTAAAAACTTAACATTGGTAAGATATTTTTCAAGTGATCTTATCTATCCATTGATTGATAAAATACTCGATCGATTTTGCTCACAAATATTACCTCACATACATTCTAAAATTAATACACTTTATCTTGAATCATTATCTATGGAACGTATTCTTCGTGTTGCTGATTATCCTAATTTACATAGTCTCGGACTTTACAATATTGATGACAAGACTGCTGAACGTGTTTTTTCAGGTAAGATATTTTATTTTGATTGTTTTCAACCGTGCAAGTACACCAAGTAAATAGAACTATTATTGATTTGATTCATATGAATAATAAGATCATAGTTATCTTCTATTGCATTCTTAATACGAATGAAAACTAAGCGATCAATAGAGAGATCTATAAATAATAGTGGAGAGAAAAAGCAAAGAAAATATCGAAAATGCACATGAATATTCATAAAATAAACAATGCACAATATATAATTTCAATCATTTGTAGTTTAATTTTTTTCGATACTGTTTTTATTGAAGTAAATGTGCTTCACTTATGTTAAATAACATCTGCATAATTTAGAAAATTATATTGTCACTTAATACAAATTCGTTGGAAAAGAATTATAAAAATGTTAGAATTCAATGAAACACATAACCGATGGTATATTTTCAATCTATCCTTAGATCAATCTCCTATATTCGATATTTTCAACAAAAAAGTTCAATCACTTCATATTACAAGGACTGGTGATGAGAAAGAATCAAAAAAAAATTCGGCAACATTGATTTTTACAAATATCTTAAATGTGTTCAGTAATATACGTTATTTAAATTATTACCCAATTATTGAATCGAATTTACAATCATTATCGTTTTATGACAAAGTACCAACATTTTTCTCTTCAACTTTGATGGAATTGAAAATTAAAGTATGCAGTTTCGAGGAGATTCTTTATTTATTCGATGGTCGTTTACCTCAACTTTGTACATTATATGTTAATGTTGTTTGTGTTTCTCTGTCGTCAACAGTAATCAACCAAAAGGTACTTTGTCTTACAAGAGTTAACTACGTTTTATTTAAAAAAAGCATCTCGTTTTTGAAAAAAACCTATTAAAATTCCTACTAAATTATAATTGTATACTGTTCGTCTTAGGAATTATTGCCTAATATCAGATGCTTTTCCTTCACCTCGAAATTGGAAATATATTCTTATAACGAATTAATCGTACCAGTTCTTCAACGAATGCCAACTTTGGAAAAACTTGCTTTGTATATTTGTGTTCATCAAGAAACATTTCTCGATGGAAATTGTTTGAAAAAGGATATTGTTAGTCATTTACCACAACTTCACAATTTCATCTTCAATATACGATCACTGATTTATACTCATCACCAAACTCGTTTACTATTGAATAAAGACATTGAACATACATTGGTAGATCTTGGAAACAATCAAGTTATTTGTTATGTTGATTATTTTTCAAAAGATGAAAGTGCTCAGTGTCATTTCTATTCATGTCCATATACGTTGAGATATTATCATAATATAACGAATAGCTTTCAAGGTGGATTATTCAAATGTGTTCGTGAAGTTTCATTATTTGATGAACATCCATTTGAACATGAATTCTTTATTCGAATTGCTCAATCATTTCCACTCATGGAAAAATTATGTGTGATTAATCGAATAGCACAAAAACAAAAATTAAATAAGAATTATGAATGCTTATCGATCATTGAATATCGTTATTTAACTGAATTAGATTTAACTGATGTTAATGATGATTACGTCGAACAATTCCTTGTTGATACCAATATATGTTTGCCGAGCAATATTCATCTTTGGACTCGTTATGACTCTTTGAAAAGAGTGACACAAAATTTCACAAGAGACGCAATCCGAGTCAATTGTGGTAAAATCAATTATCTGCAGATTTATGATGAGTTTCAAGTTTCGGAACGTTTTACAACATATTTTCCTCATGCAAACATATCAAGATGGTGAAACTTTGTACAAAATATTGAAAATGATGAATTTTTTGTTTTGAACAATAAATGCAACTAATGTCCATTTCAAAATAAAAGAAGAGTGGTTGTTTTTTGAATAATTCTTCAACGAAAAGAGCTATCGACCTGCGGTTGTCACCATTAGGAAAATATTGACATTTTGCATCTTTCTATACACTAGTTAACAAATCTAGCTCATAAATTTGATGAGCAATCAGTGAAATTCAAAGAAACAATTGAAGTCCTTTTGAAAAATGTATCGAATTTCAATGATAAGGAATGCATTTGATTCACCTGCTCAAGATCTACAACTCGACATAAACCCACAATTTTTATGTTTTTATTATTCAAAAGATATTCACTCAAAACTGATCTTCAAAAATGCTGGAAACAACCTTTTGTGATTATTTTTTCAAGTTTGAATAATTCTATGTTTATCAATTAACAGTTAGGTTTTCGATCGTTCTGAAGAGATACTCAACATATAGGAGTATGTTGTATCAGTATAGTTTGCGACGATGATATTCGATATGTGATGTAATATGATTATCACTAGTTTTACACGACAAAGAACGATTTGCTTATACTATAAACAGTTTCGTTCAATTGAGAATGATCGAAAACCTAACTGTTAATTGATAAATATAGAATTTTTAAAAAGTTGAAAAAATAGCCACAGAAGGTTGTTTTCCAGCATTTTTAACTATCAGTGTTGAGTGTATATCATTTTAATGATACAAAAGAATAAAAATTTCGAGTTTATCTAAACTTCTAGGTCTGAGTAGGCGAATCTAACACACTCCTTATCATTGAAATTCTACATATTTTTCAAAAGACTTTAACTGCCCCTTTGAATTTCACTGACTGCTAATTAAGTATGTGCTCTTTTTCAAATGTTTTCTCAGATATAAACCTAATGTTTTATTTTCCAGTGATAACTGTTTTTCTATTGACTGTAATCTCTTCGATTAACAGTCAATGTACACAATCTGCATGTACTGCTCAACTCTTATTTCAATTTACGTTTTTTCTATTAAAAGATTGCTTATTATCTTTAAAATACAATTCTATATACAAAACAAAATACAAAAGAAAAAGGAATAAATTATATTGTCATTTAATTACTCGATATAGATTTTACTTTAGTATTAGTTCTATGAATGAATAGAATAGAATCCCATGTCTTGTTCAATTTTTTCAAATCAGTTGGAGAGATAATTATTGCATTGATCGATAATATACAATAAGAAATTTTACTTGAAGATGATAGTTATTCAATACTGTATTTGATATGAAAAGATATACAAAAGATAGATATGATACTATAATCCAACTGTTTCACAACTTATTTTCCATAGATATTCAGCCGATTTCTTATCTGTACATAATGGAATAGGTTTAGCAGGAGCACAATTTCTTAAAATAATATATATATCAATTGATATTTATATTTATTAATTAACTTGATACGTACTCATAATATAAATCACTAGATTTTTCTAACGATGGTTCAACAGCACAATAGACAGTTGTACGAGCACCTATATAAGGTGTTTTAGCAAAAATAAATTTAAGAGTACGTTGTAATGGATAAATAATAAGAAAAAAAACCATATACCAACTGCTGGACGTAATGGACCTTGAAACGAAGTCCATACCCATCCGGGATTTACTGCAAATACCTGAACACCTTGATCTATCAAACGAAACAAAAAAAATTAGTTAAAAATATAAAAAGAATATTCAAAGATTACCACGCAGATCATGTTTAAGTTTGTATGAAGATAAAATTTGACATGCTTTAGATGGACAATAAGAACCCCACATATCATCTGTTTTAAAATCTGTCAATGCTGTCAACCCTTCTGTCGTTCGAGGATCTATAAACAACAACAAAAAGAAAAAAAATTAAAACTCAATTCTCGTTTTTTTTTGTCTCCTCACATTTATGTGCAATAGATGAAACATTAATAATTCGACTTGGTTGACATTTTTTTAATTTATCTAACAAAAGATTTGTTAATAGAAAATGACCAAGATAATTAGATTACATAACATAATTTAATCCATCTTTACTATAAATATTCGGTGTATAAATAAGACCAGCATCACAAATCAATACATCAAGTCGGTCTTCTTTAGTATTATATAATTTAACTTTATGAATAGAATTAAAAGAAGATAAATCACATTCCATTAATCGAATATTTTGCTCATTACATTTCGTTTCCAAATGAAGTTCTCTTAATGCTTGATGAACTTTATCTATACTACGACAAGCGATAATAACACGAGGACCTACAAAAATCTCTTATAAACATCAGAAACAAAACATTAAATTAAAACCTCGTAGAAGAAGATCTTTAGCTGTTTCATATCCAATACCAGCATTACCACCCGTAATAACAACTGCTTTGCCTTCCATAGATTGCATACTTGAATACAATAATCGATTGATTCAGAATTTATTAAATAACCGTATTACTATAACTAAAAAAAACATAAAATTATGCGAAGAGTTTTGTGTAAAAGATAATTGTCGTAGTTAGAAATGTCAATACCAAAATAATTGTATAACACTGATCGAATAGTTGATTGACATATGAACAGAGGTTGTCAATAATTGATAAAAACATCATGAATGTTGAATTTTAATCTAGGCATGAAAGAATGTAGATAACATACTTTTTCAATAGAAGAACATATTTATATGTCTATGCAAATGTATTAAAGCAGCAACATCATCATCATCATTATTCTACATAGTTCTTTTCTTATCTTCTCCGTTTTTTTGCATTTTTTAACTGAAGTATAGACAGTCA